CAGTGAGCAGAGATTGCGCCATTGCACTCCAGCCTGGGTAACAAGAGCGAAACTCCGTCTCAAAAAAAGAAAAGAAAAGAAAAGAAAAGCAATGGGCAAAAGATGTAATAAAAAATAAGCAAAAGATATGAACCAGACATTCAAAGAAGAGGAAGAAAAGACAAACCTATGATAAAGAATTTCAAAACCAGAAATCAGTAAAATTCAAATTAAGACCACAATAAAGTATTATTTTAAACTCAAAAGTGAACAAAAATTTGAAGAATTGAAAATACTAACTATTGATGAGGATTTGAACCAGCAAGGCAGGCTTAGTTATTCCTGGTGGTTATATAACAAGTTAGAGTAACATTTGGCATTGATTTATAAAATAGAGCACACACATATTCCAGGATCCAGAAATCAAATTTAAACATTCAATGGAAACTGGCAAATGTATGAATGAAGAGAATTGCACAACAGTGTCCAGAGCAGTGTTGCTTGTCAACGGAAAAAAATATGAAAACAACTCAAATGTTAAAACAAACCAAATATCCAGGAAAATGCATAGTGCTTTGCACATCTACATAACAGATTATTGTATGTATATTATATACCATTTAATATCTATTAAAATGACCTTTTTTAAAAAAGAATAATGGCAGATGTGAAAATTATCACATTATTATAAGTAATGATAGGATTCAGTATATAGCCCCTTTAAAAATGATTTTAAAATATGCCAGATTGTATGTTATCCCAAATATAACAAATACTATTCATTCTCTGTTTCCGTGTTTTTCTAAAGTTTTTAAAAATATTTTAATTATAAAAATGTTTAATTCAATTTGTAGTATGCATAGAAACAATTCTAGGGACTTGAATTTATTTTTCATTAACGTGAATTTTTTTGTTTGAAAGGGTTTAGAAGTTGATAATTGAAAAGTATAAATAGATTTTGAGCATGAGTGTAGCTGGGATTGTGTTATCAGAAATGAAATAAACATCCAGGTAAAATGGAATATTCAGTCTTTTGAATTATTAATTATTTAATGATATTGCATAAATAATGTCTCTGTCTCCTTGGATCACAGATTTTCATAAATCTTCCCAGCCAGAAGGCTAGTACATGTTTTACATTTTAGAAGAGAGAATTTTCATTATAAGATATGGATGGTTACCTGTAACTAAAATATAAGGATTTTTACAAATCTAAAAATCCATGGATGCCTGAGATGTGTGTGTGTGTGTTTGTGTGTGTGTGTGTGTGTATTCTCTGCATAATTGAGCTACTTCCAAAAGAAAAGTATAACTTTATCATTTAAAGTCACTTGTATTGTAAAAGTCAAGAAGAATATAAAAGCAAGAATTTTGTTCAAAAGTTTTATAATTTGCAAATGCTTCTACTCTGATATTTCATTAAATTATTAAAATATTGTTTCATATTGGTAAAATCGGGGTGCATGGAGCTTTAGTGTTTATGCATACTGATATGAAGAAGCAATTCTGTTGTGTTGCAAAAAAAAGAACTGGGTGGTTGCATTAATGGAGCAATGATAGTCCCAACTGTTGCAGAGAGGCGCTTAGTTCAGTCTTGAAATTTGTGATTTCTACATAAAATGTTCAAAGCTCTAAGAAACTTTGTTATTCCAAACTTAGTATTTAACAGGTCTTGTGTATGTTGCTTAAACTGTGATTGGTAGCAAGTCCTCGTGAGCCTGTAACAGAGCTTACTTACACAAAGACAAAGTTTCTCCCTCAAGTACACTACTCTGCTCTGATCTCCCGATGCATCATCTCAGGTTGCTCTGTCTCCTAGGAATTGCACTTAAATAATTTTTCCCACATAGTTTCTCATTGTAATTGTTTTTGAGCATTGGAATTGTCATGCATCATTGGAGGTGTTACAAGAAACACACAGAATGATAAATGTGTGAATTTTCCCCTCTGTCGCTCTGACACTGGCAATAGAATTATTCCAGTTGAGATCTGGGGGTAGTTTAGGTAAAATCCATTCACAGAAGCAGGAATACATAGGTTCTTCAAATAAATGGGAACAAGTAAATAATTTAGCTATGAGTAAGTGAGCTATGCTGCTTTTATAAAAATATTTATTACCCTAGAGAATACGAGATGTAGCTTTTATTGCACATGTGGTTTTAGTAAGTCATATCTTTTGTTTTTTTAAAACTCATATTTGTTCACAGTAAGTGCCCTTAAATTTACAGTTTATTAAGTATCTTTGTTCCTTTTTCTGAGGATAAGTCTTAAAATGTTGACAGAAACATCAGTACTAGAGCAATTTACATAAGGAGTAAAAACAATGTTTTTATGTTTTATCTAGCCTCCTTACTTAATTTGTGTTTAATAAAGTTTATTTGGAAACCAGAAATTATCAAAAATTTGATGATGATAACATTTCTTGGACAAAGAAATTAGGTCTAGGGATTTATAAATAGCTGAATCTTATGACAGAAAAGAATTCAAGGATCCCTAAATATTTTGATTTTGTTTTCTGTAAACCTATGGGTTCTGGTCAAATAACAATACAAAAATTATAGCATCTTCAAGATGTAGTTCCTGGATATAAAGAGCATTACATAAAAAGTATTAAATAAATATTTATTTATGATGCAATATATTTACAAACTCAACTGTTTTTTGGTGGGGTTACGAATGTATGCTTAATAGCTGTAGAGTTAACTTTTATATATTCTGATGAGTATGTAATAGACTCAAATGAGCATATAAACACTAGTGCTCAATTATAGACAAATTAGAATTGATACTCTTTTAATTCTTCAATTGTTAGTGTGTGAACTTTGGCAATTCCTAGAGCGTTCTGTACCATTCATTTTCTGAGTGACAAAGGTACCTGTGAAGTATTTAGCACAAGACTTTGTATATAAGTGGTTTACACCTTGACATCTGAGATGGATACATCAGGGTTGCTGTGCTTGATAACATTTTATGCCAAGATTATTCCATAATTTATAAGTGCTCCCTTTGTTTAGTAGTGAGTAGTGTTGCTTACCTGTGAACCATGCAAAAGTTTCATCCAAGATAGGATCCTCCTTTCTTTACATTTTGTCTGGAACATAAGGTCAGGTGATCCATCAGCAGAATTACTATACCCGCTCCAGGAGAAAAGCATTCACCAACATTTAACTATAGGTTCTAATTGTTATGATCAGCAGGTACTGAAATCCCAGAATTGGATCTGGAGTGTGCTTGTTCAGGGGTAAAGATAAATATAAAATTTGATAAGGGATTTATTGAAGTTGGGTATTACATAAAATATATCTTATCATCAAGGAAATCTGGAGATTGTATTGATACATTGCTAAGGTAGTTCCTTAAAGCTTGGGAAGAAATTCTCTGGTAAATGAGATGCAGGTGCTGGAATTGCCATAAAAGAGTACTGAGGAAGGGCTGACAATACTCAGAGACTAAGGCATGTTAAGGTAGATATATTCTGTTATGTAAGAGAATGCTTTAGATAATTACATTCTTCAAGTACCTAGAATATGCCTACTCCATAAAGTATTGGGAATTCTCTTGTATGGGAGCATAGTCATTGTTGTGAAACCTGGAGAGATCTATTCTCCATAGGCCAGGTTTACCAACAGGAGATTTTTCAATGGAATTGGACTTCCAAATATTAATTGAAATGTTAGAATTTCAAAGAAAGCAGTAAATAACTGTCAAAAGCAGAATGATTTATTTATTGTTTTGGGAAACAAGGCTAGACTGAAAACCAAGGACTCCTGAGGTACACCAGTTTGTAACACGTCTTTGGACTTTGAAGCCTGTGATGTTGAGATATCTGTATTTATCTCTCTCTCTCTCTCTCTATCATCTATCTTAATTATGTATGTATGTATCTTTCTATCCATCTTTCTATCCCTGTTTATAGCTTACAGATAGCTGAACACATGAAGGCTGACAGGTGAAGAAGAACTCACCCATCCACGTGCTGGGGCGGGGGGGTGGCATTCCCCAACTCCATGGGGATTGAAGCTCCTGCACTTGAGACCCTTCCAGTTCTCACCATATGTATCTCTTCATCTGGATGTTTATTTCTATTCTATCAAATATATGTCATAATAAACCAGTAAGTGTAACTATTTTCCTGAGATCTGTGAGCTGCTCTAGGAAATTAAACATACCCAAAGAGGGTGTTGTAAAAACCTCAACTTGAAGCCAGTGGATTGTAAGTTCCTGCAGCCTTATGACTGTGGGGAAGGAGCGGGATGTCTTGTGGGACTGAGCCTCACCCTGTGGGATCTGACACTATCTCCAGGTAGACAGTGTTGGAATTGAATTGGAGGACATGTAGCTGATGTCCATTTCTTGCTGTATGTGGAAAACCCCCAATACATTTGGTCACAGAAGTTTTCTTCTGTGTTAATAATTGTGGTGGTGTAAGAGGAGAGGAAAGCAGAGTTTGAGAGTTGTTTTTTTTTTAAATTTTCTCCCAAAAGGGATAGTATCTATGTAATGCTTGAGAATACTCCTCTGAGTAAGCTTTATCCTAAGAGAGTTCTTCAACAGGTTCAGACTGTAGAAAAGCAGACTGGCTATTTTCTAACAGGTGCACTGGCAAATCCCATGATGCTGGAGGTATCTGGGAGAGATAAGGATGCTGTATGGACTCTCTGGCAAGCCCCAGTAGAAGAGCCAGTGTGGACCTACAGTTCTGAGACTGTTCACTATTCAAAAACAGCCTCTAGCTTTGGTGGCATCAAACAGCGGTTTCTGAGCATGTTTTTCATGTGGCTATGCAAATAGAGCTGCCCATCTTGACAGGTCATTTTGTAAAGTCAAATCTACAGATGTATAATATTGGGTAGGCACAGAGGCAATTTATCATGTGATAGAAAGAGTAAATTGGGAATTCATTCAAATAGGTTTGAAAGGCAAAATGAATGTGTAAATACATTTGGCCTTTGCCTGCAACAGGTGTCACCTACCACATTGCACAGCCATTTTGTAGCTCATGTATAATTTCTTTTTTGCAGGACTACCACAACTGGATGATAAGGAAGGAAGAAACACAGTTCACAGACGAATGAGATCAATAGGTTGGCATGAGTGGAAAATGGGTTACTTCTGCAAAAAGGCCCAGCACGTAAGTATCTCTAGAAGAAAGAAGTAAAGGGAAAATTCTATAGAGGGCAGAGATTGGAAATCAACACACTGTAATCTACTTGGTGTAGAAGGGGAAATGGCTTGCAGCAAACATATGCACAGCTTTGGTCAGTGGTAAATTGCTCTGCCTGGTGGAATCAGATATAAGAAAGCAAGGTTGGAAAAGTAGAGACAAAGAAGATAGGGCAAGAGGCATACGACTGGACCCATGGGAGTTGACACTGATGTGTGGATATTTGGTTTTCCCATTTGTTCCACCCTAGTGGAGCAACATCCACCCCGGTGGAGCAACTGAACAACCACACGGCTAGAATGACTTGGGTTGGGTGTGTCATCCAGCCTCTGTCTTTAGCCAGCTCTGTGCTTGGGTCTTGTACACATGAATGGAGTAACCCTGGGAAGGATAGGAAGCTATGGATTGTAAGCTAGCTACTTGAACATGAATGCTGGCAGTGGGAAAAGAAGCAGAATGGCTGGTATACAAGAAGATGATAACTAGCAATGATACTCTGTTAGAACCAGCTATTCACTCCAATACAAATCATTGTTTTGTCATTGTTGTCATTGGGTTTAAGGAACTGTGACCAGTCACAAATACAAAGACAGAAGATATTAGACTTAGTGTGTGTCATAAATGGATCTGAGCAGTACAAGGGGTGGGCTGCAGCAGACCATTTAGGCTCACAGGGCCTCAGCACTCATTGTCATAACTGGAGGCTCCATGGAAACCACCTGCCAGTTGGGCTGATGATTCTTTTTGCTAAGGGAATATGCTGGGCCTGAATACATGATAAACAAAAAGTAATAGAAATTTATTTCGAGAAATCACCTTCAATTAAAGAAAGATGGGGATCTGGTAAGATTCAAACCCCAGTTTCCTCACCACTCATTAAGGATCATTCCAAGGCTGAGCTCTCCTGTTACCCAGAATTCCCAGTGTAATCAAGCTGCAGGGTCTCTTGGTGGTAGGTGGTTGGTAGATGTCTTTCCATTCCTGGGATCACCTACCAAGGAAACTACTGGTCTACTTGTCATCAGTTCTTCATCTCAGGGTCTTCTTGGAGAATAAATCTATCACGCATAAAAACAATGTGTTTTCTGTAATTAAATGAAACATGCATTCTGAAGGTTGTGTTGATAACTTTCCCATGTGGATTATTTACCTGTGCCCTGATTTTCCCATTTAGATCTTTATTTTACCATGACTCCTCCTTCAGTAATGTCTGAATAACAATTCAAAATATAAAAGAGCAATGAAAGAAGTACCCAAATCAGTACAGTGAATCAAATCTACTGCATGAAAAATGCAAGATTATAAATATTTATGTAGGGTTTTCCTCAATTTTTGCCCTATTAAGGAATGACCCTTAGGTTCAAAAGTATTCTAGAGCATATTAAGTGCCGCAGAAGTTTCTCACTCTCTGTAGCTCCCTTCTCATTCAATTACAATGTAATGTAATTAGATTTCATGCATTTTTGTAGAAATAAATAAATAAATGTTTGAATGCATGGCTTGTCTGAAAGCTAAAATAAAGTATGAACACCGATTTATAAAATGGGTTCACAAGGGTTAAGTTTTACTATTCCAGTCTTCCAAATGGCATTTTCATCTCTTGAAACTTTTTTGAGAGAGAAATTAAGTGTCTTTATATGTGAGTGGTTCTCCAATTACTTTTTAATGAAAATTCACCCTATGTATAATAAGCCCTTTACTTTATATAGTAGTAATTAAACTACTGAACATATTTGAGAAGCACTTACTTTTTGTGGATTTATACAAAATCGCTCTTGCAATTAATGTCAGGACTGCAAGGATAAAAGCCGTATCAGCTTGACCAGTGACTGGAAGTAAAGTGCTGATAAATTTCATACATATCGTTTGAGAAAAGCTATAAGCTATTAGTTTATAACATACTTCACTAAGCAAATGAAATTAGTAATAGTGAAGGATAAAAATCTTTTGAGCAACTATTAGGTTTTGTTAATGAAATAGGGCAACTTCTTTCAAAAAGCATTACCTTTGAAATACATGTCCACCAAGAGTTCTTGTATGCCCAAAGTCAAAATTGTTTTTGCACTATAGACAGATCATTTGTCTTTTGAAAGAAAACATCATCATAATAGTGTTGGAAAAGTTTATTCCAGATCATTTTTTTATATAAACTTGTAAAACTTTTGTTTTTTTATATATATAAAGTATTTATATCTTGGGAACTTAAGATTTTTCCTTTCTTATTTTCTTTTTTCTCTAAACATTTTTCATAGATAATACTTCCAAAGGAAGTTAAAGTGATGTTTTTTTTCTCTTCATAATTGGTCTAGTGGGCTTTTGTCCAAATCAAAACCAGTAGTACATTTTCCATTGATTTCCTTTTAAGTTCAATTTCTTCCTATAAAAGATAGATTCCATGATTAATAACTTCAGTTACCCTCTTGTCACTGTTATCAATGTCCTTGCCTCATTGATCCAATGATACAGGCAGCTGGCAAAAAAAAAACTTGAGGAGAAAAATAAGAAAACTCTAAACTATATCTTAGCAGTGACTTGAAATTCTTTTTTTAAAAAAATTATTTATTTATTTTACTTTAGGTGCATACTATATCTGTCATTTCTCCCCATGTTATCCCTCCCCACCCTCCCCTCCCTTCCCACCCCCCATTGTCTCTCCCCTACCCCCCCAACTGTCCCCTGTGTGTGATGCTTCTCTCCCTGAGTTCATGTGGTCTTGTTGTTCAACACCCACATATGAGTGAAAACATACAGTGCTTGGCTTTCTGTTCTTGGGTCAGTTTGCTGAGAATGATGGTTTCCAGATTCATCCAAGCCCCTACAAAGGACATGAACTCATCATTTTTTATGACTGCGTAGTATTCTATGGTGTATATGTACCACATTTTCGTTGTCCGGTCTATCATTGCTGGGCATTTGGGTTGGTTCCAGGTCTTTGCTATTGTACACAGGGCTGCAATGAACATATGTGTGCATGTGTCTTTATAGTAGAACAATTTATAGTTCTTTGGGTATATACCCAATAGTGGGATTGCTGGGTCAAATGGAATTTCTATTTTTAGATCCTTGAGAAATTGCCCCACTGTCTTACACAATGATTGAACTAATTTACACTCCCACCAACTGTGTAAGAGTGTTCCTGTTTCTCCACATCCTCTCCAGCATCTGTTGTCTCCCAATTTTTTAATGATTGCCATTCTAACTGGCATGAGATAATATCTCACTGTGGTTTTGATTTGCATTTCTCTAATGACCAGTGATGATGAGCATTTTTTCATGTTTGTTGGCATCATATATGTCCTCTTTTGAAAAGTGTCTGTTCATATCCTTCACTCACTTTTGAATGGGGTTGTTTGTTTTTTTACTTGTATATCTGTTTTAGTTCTTTGTAGATTCTGGATATTAGCCCTTTGTCAGATGGGTAGATTGCAAAAATTTTTTCCCATTCTGTTGGTTGCCACTTCACTCTAATGATCGTTTCTTTTGCTGTATCGAAGCTCTGGAGTTTAATTAGATCTCTTTTGTCTATCCTGGCTTTTATTGCTATTGCTTTTGGTGTTTTGTTCATGAAGTCTTTGCCTATGCCTATGTCCTGGATGATTTTGCCTACATTTTCTTCTCGTGTTTTTATGGTATTCGGTTTTATGTTTAAATCTTTGATCCATCTGAAGTTAATTTTAGTGTAAGGTGACATGTAGGGGTCCAGTTTCTGCTTTCTGCATATTGCTAGCCAGTTTTCCCAACACTATTTATTAAACATGGAGTCCTTTCCCCATTGCTTGTTTTTACTGGGTTTGTCAAAGATCAGATGATTGTAGATGTGTCGTGTTTCTTCTGGGGTCTCTGTTCTGTTGCATTAGTCTATGTCTCTGTTTTGGTACCAGTACCATGCTGTTTTGATTACTGTAGCCTTATAGTATAGTTTGAAGTCTGGCAGTGTGATACCTCCGGCTTTGTTCTTTTTGCTTAGGATTGTCTTGGCTATGCGGGGTCTCTTGTGATTCCATATGAAGTTTAAAGTGGTTTTTTTCCAGGTCTGTGAAGAAGGTCATTGATAGCTTGATGGGGATAGCATTGAATCTGTAGATTACTTTGGGCAGTTTGGCCATTTTCACGATACTGATTCTTCCTAACTATGAGCATGGAATGTTTCTCCATCTGTTTGTGTCCTCTCTTTTTTTGTTGAGCAGTGGTTTGTAGTTTTTCTTGAAGAGGTCCTTCACATCCTTTGTTAGTTGTATTCCTAGGTATTGTATTCTCTTTGTAGCAATTGTGAATGGATGTTTGCTCTTGATTTGGCTATCTGTTTGTCTGTTATTGGTATATAGGAATGCTTGTGATTTTTGCACATTAATTTTGTATCCTGAGACTTTGCTGAAGTTTGAGAAGATTTTGGGCTGAGATGATGGGGTCTTCTAGATATATATTCATGTTGTCTGCAAATACAGACAATTTGACTTCCTCCTTTCCTAATCGAATACGCTTTATTTCTTTTTCTTGCCTCATTGCTCTGGCTAGAACTTCCAATACTATGTTGAATAGGAGTGTTAAGAGAGGGCATCCTTGTCTAGTGCCTGATTTCAAAGGGAATGCTTTCAGTTTTTGCTCATTCAGTATGATATTGGCTGTAGGTTTGTCATATATAGCTTTATCATTTTATGATACATTCCATCAATACCTTTTTTATTGAGAGGTTTTAGCATGAAGGGCTGATGAATTTTATCAGAAGCCTTCTCTGCATCTATTGAGATAATCATGTAGTTTTTGTCTTTGGTTCCGTTTATGTGATGGATTACATTTATGGGTTTGCATATGTTGAACCAGCCTTGTATCCCTGGGATGAAGCCTACTTGGTCATGATGGATAAGCTTCTTGATGTGCTGTTGGAATCTGTTTGCATTTTATTGAAGATTTTTGCGTCGCTGTTCATCATGGATATTGGCCTGAAGTTTTCTTTTTTAGTTGAGTCTCTGCCTGGTTTTAGTATCAGGATGATGTTGGTCTCATAAAATGAATTAGGGAAGATTTCCTCCTTTTGTATTGTTTGATACAGTTTCAGAAGGAATGGAACCAGCTCCTCTTTGTACATCTGGTAGAATTGGGCTGTGAACCCGTCTGGACCTGGACTTTTTTTGGTAGGCTATTGATTGCTGCCTCTACTTTAGCCCTTGTTATTGGTCTATTCAGGGGTTCAGCTTCCTCCTGGTTTAATTTTGGTAGAGTACAAGTATCTAGGAATTTATCCATTTCTTCCTGGTTTACTGGTTTATGTGAGTAGACCTGTTTGTAGTAATCTCTGATGGTAGTTTGTCTTTCTGTGAAATCAGTGGTGATATCCCCTTTATCGTTTTTTATTGTACCTATTTGATTCTTCCCCCTTTTCTTTTTTATTAATCTGGATAGTGGTCTGTCTATTTTGTTGATCTTTTCAAAAAACCTGCTCCTGGATTTATTGATTTTTTGAAGGGTTTTTGTGTCTCTATCTCTTTCAGTTCTGCTCTAATCTTAGTTATCTCTTGTCTTCCACTAGCTTTTGAGTTTTTTTTTTTAATCTTGCTCCTCTAGTTCTTTCAATTTTGATGGTAGGGTGTCAATTTTAGATCTTTCCTCTCTTCTCTGACGGGCATTTGTTGCTATAAATTTCCCTCTCGATACTGCTTTAAAGGTGTCCCAGATATTCTGGTAAGTTGTGTCTTCATTCTGGTTGGTTTCGAAGAACATCATTATTTCTGCCTTCATTTCATTGTTTATTTAGTCAACATTCAGAAGCAAGTTGTTCAGTTTCCAAGTGGTTGTGTGGATTTGAGGGTGTTTCTTGATCTGAGTTCTAGTCTGTTTGCACTGTGGCCTGATAGACTGTTTGGTATTGTTTCTGTTCTTTTGCATTTGCTGAGGAGTGATTTGCTTCCAATGATGTCATCAATTTTAGAGTAAGTGCAATGTGGTGCTGAGAAAAATGTATGTTCCCTGGATTTGGGGTGGAGTATTCTGTATATGTCTATTAAATCCACTTGGTCCAGCTCTGCATTCACGTCCTGGATATCCTTGTTAATTTTCTGTCTCGTTGATCTGTCTAATATTGATGGTGGAGTATTGAAGTCACCCACTATTATTGTGTGGGAGTCTAAATCTCGTTTTAGGTCATTAAGAACTTGCTTTATGTATCTGGGTGCTCCTGTGTTGGGGGCATATATATTTAGGATAGTTAGCTCTTCCTGTTGGAGACTTGAAATTCTTGATGCTTCCCTAGCTAACATGTTTCTCTATGATTACAACGAACTAATTTAAACTCCTAGATTCTCATGTCTTTACTTCTGCCACCTGTATTATCATTTTCAGATGATCTCACTCATCTAACACTTCACACACAGCAGTCCCATAAGAGCATTTCCACAGACTCTATCCAGCTTTCCAAACTTTTATCTTCTGTGATTGTATTCACTTTCTATTATTCTTCTACATTTCTGACATCAGCTCTGTTTATGATTATTATGATTGTAACTTCCCTACTGCCTGCATCTTTGAGGCAGTATCCTTTTCCCCTTTAAATCTATACCTACCATGCAGGTGAGCTTCTTCCACTTTCATGGTTTAGTTACAAACTGCTTACAAAGAAATTTTTTCTCTTTGAGGTGCCAACTGTAACTTTTATTCTGCAGGTCTTCTTTTCTTAACTGGTAACCAACTCAAATGACTACAAAAGGACAGAGCTGGCTTCAGATTTACTTAGAAGGATATGATGCTAATGAATGCTGCATGTCAACATGTCAGCACAAGCCATTTCTTATTCGTGAAAGCCCTCCCAGCAGTCCCACAGTAGTGCCAGGACTGTGGTCTCTGGAGTAATTCCGTCTAGTTTTCTGCCAGGTGCTTTTTACTAGATGTGACCCGTGGGATCATTACTCACTCTGTTGCAGTTTTCTCACTTCAAACATAGAGACAAACATCATAATTCACCTAGGAGAGCTTTATTGAGGACTAAACCAAATAAACTAATATAAAAGACCCTCTGGTAAGTGTACAATAATTATTGCCAAAAATATGATTCTTTACTAGCTATAAGAAACTTTTCATTATTTTGCCTATAGATGCTTAATTTTTCCTTCAAGGTCTATGTGAACTGTTACTTCCTCGTAGCTTTTCCTGAGGCCTTCTTCAATTCATATTCCTGCAACTCATAACCATCACCACCATCATAACTATTATATCATTTGTATTTTAATAGCACATATGTTTATATTTTGTATGAAAATACTCACTCAAATATACTACTTCCTAAACTCTTCAAAAAAAATACTAGCAAAAACCACAGTGAATACCATGTGAAAATAATTAAATCGATATTTTTAAATGAAAAAATTTTATTTCAAAGACTCCCTTTTAAGACATATGTGTTAAATTTTTTAAAAAATGGCAAGTTGTTGGGTTTGGAAAATATAAATTATAAAATCAAATTTTAGTCAAATTTGTCTATAGTAAATTTACCCTTATATACAGAGTATACATTTTTAGTAGAGGCTAGAACTTCTGTAGATTATTGGGAGAAAGTTTCTAACCCATGTAGAATATAAAGCTAAAGAGACATAAGTAATATTTTGTATATAATATGCTCTTGTAATGGAATCCTGTTACAACTTAAAACAGCATTGTCTATTATGGAAGCCACTAGCCAAATGTGGCTCTTCAGTACTTGAAATGGGTTTGCCAAAATTAAAATGTGCTCTAAATATAAAATAGACCATGGAGTTAGAAGACATACTATAAAACAAAGATTATAAAATACCCCATTAATCAAATTTTATATTGATTTTATAATCAAGGTATATTTTGAATATATTGAGTTAAATTCTATACTGTTAAAATTAACTTCACCTCTTTTTTCCATATGGTTACTGGATAATATATAATTATATATATTATATATGTAGTTTGTATTTTATTACTATTGGGAAGTGCTGTTATATATAATGAGCCACAAGTAAAGAGGAAATTGAGGTGATTTCCAGTGGTATAGGAATATAAAAAGGATTATATATATAAATAGTATATGAGCAAATTAAGATAGTACCCTCATTCCTTCTTAAAATATTTCATTTCTAGCTTCTATTTTTCTTTTGTTTGTTTATTGGTTTAAACAATATTTTTTTCTCAAATTACAATTATGTAACTGACTTCAACTTTATTTTTCAAACTTCTCAAGTGTCTTAATGATGTTTAGAAAATGAAAGTTTAAGTTTTACTCAGTGGGAGACCAAATGGACTTAAACATAGTTTGCTGGTAAAGGATTGAAGCCATCTTTGCAAAATTATGACAATGAGAGAAATCTGACATAATTGACTCCATCTTGCTTCTAACTTCACAAGGTAACTGTCTTTGCTTATTTCTGTATGTAGGCCAAGCTAACTACAGGAGGAATTTAGTTTATATATTTTTTTCTTTAACCTTAAAGAGTAGAATAATAATAGTTCCTTCCTGAAACTAACCTTCCCGCCTTGTTCAGGGATAGAAACTGCCTTTGTAAAATTAATGAAAGACAAAGTTAGAATTATAGTAGTGGACTGAATTCTGCTAAGACTTAGGCATAGCTAAACAATAACTAGTCATTGCTTTCTAACTTGCTTTTTTGGAATTGCTTACTACCCAGGAGTCATGTAGCCAGTGGCCCCAAGATTTGTAACTTTCCCAGTTGCGCCTGTAGACAACATCACTATTGTGAAAGCTAAGATTGATGTTTGAGATATTTTTCAGAACCTGCATTCTGGTGGACCAGCTGATGCCACCTGGACTGGTGACCTATACCAGCAAACTCGCTCAACTAGTTCTGTGACCCCAACCTAGGAGCTGACTCAGTACATGAAGACAGTTTCAACACTCCTATAATTTCATTTTAACCCAAACAATCAACATTGCCTATCCCCTAGTTCCCTGCCAAACGATTCTTAAAAACCTCTAGCCTCGAAATTTTCAGAGAGGTGGGTTTGAGAAATATCTCCTGGTCTGCTTACATAGCTGCCCTGCAATTATTAAACTATTTCTCTGCTGCAATACCTGCTGTCTCAGTTCATTGACTTTTATTGTGCAGTGGACAGGAAGAACCTATTGGGCTGTGACAGGATCTTTATATTTCATACATAATTTTATGAGCATTAATTATTAACAAAAGAATAAAAAACTTGTGAGAGATTTTTGTTACCATATTACCTGAGGAAAGTTTAGCTGAAATGTGATACTTTAAGAGCAGTGTAAGAAAAAAAAAAAGTTGCACCTGAAGATTATGATGTTTTCTGTATTTAGTTTAGAATTGATCTGGTGAGCTGAATTTATATTTTCAGTTTTTGTATATTTGGAATAAATGCCAAATAGACCCTAGCACTCAAAGATTATATAAAAATAATTAGTATTTAATAACTAGTGTAACTTTAACACACACATTGAATATATGTATTTACATGTTTATGTGATTAAACAAAAATGTTGACTCATATTAAATATTACAGATAAACTTGACTAAAATTCAATTTCACTGTCATAGCAAGAACATTTCAATTTTTCTTTTTTTCTCTTCTCATTTATATTGCTTTTTTTCTTTGATAAAACTGTCAGCTATGTACCACAATTTTAATACAAAGAAAAATAATCTGGTCTACAAAAACATCTAAATATTGAAGACTATGCCAGAATTTGGCAGAAAATTTATATAATTGTTTATGGTATAATAGTTGCAATATTAAATCTGCAATGAATTGCAAAAAGAAAATAAACATAATACTAAATTTTTAATGTAACATTTCAGTTATTTTTCTGGGTTTCTTGTTGGATTAAATGCATAGTCTATTCCCAAATCAAATGTATCTAATGTATTTTACACAGAGCAATGAACTATACATTGATAATAAAAAGGAAGTAGGAAAATCTTACTCCCTACAAGCAAATTTATCTATCTGGATTATTTCGTGTGTAGGAAATAAGGCAATGAAGTCTCAAGAAAATAAAATGTTTTGCTAAGCTTAAAAACTTGCTCTGAAAATACATTTCTCTCATTTTGACCCTTTATTTAGAATATTAATTCTCAAAAGCATTTGAGAATGTGGCCCTTTATTTAGAAGAGTAATTCTAAAGTCCCTGTTAGCAAGGCATATTCTCAATTTCTACCCTGAACTTTCTGCATCATAATTTTGGGGATATGGCCCAGCAATTGGCATTTTACAATCCCTTCAGGGTATCCTTATTCTTGCTAAAGTTTAATAATCCCTGCAATAGAATACATTTTGGTCTATTTTTTTTGTCATCATGGGAGAGGAATCTACCAGTAAATAGAGAGTCAAAGTATTTAATGGAAATTAGTAAATAAATTGTCTCTCAAAGAGTCCACTAATAATATAGTACCTGTAGAGAATACTGACTCACAGGAGGACGAACTTAGCAAGTCATTCTTAGAGCCTTCACCGCACTATCATCCTGAAAGTTACATGACCTCACTACATGAGGGAGAAAACAACACAAGAGCAGATGTCTTCTTTTTAAAGGCTTGTATAAATCGTATTTATTCAGTAGCTATTTTATTGTTCTAGAGGTATTACAAAAACAAATGTTTAAATTGCATTATTATTTATTTATGTTGGTAACATTTTATCTAACCATCAAATTTATACATGGGAAGATATTTGTCAAATCCATTTTGTTTCTATGAAATTAAAAGTCTTCATTTCATATAATTCACACTTTCTTGAAATAGAACACAAACTATTTGTAAGTTAAAATGTGTTCCACATGCATGTGTTATAAATGTCCGTGACATTTTCATCTCAAAGTCGATGAAAATGTTCTTACTACCTGTTAGTTTTACACAGACTCTGTAGTTTATCCATGATATTATCTCAAATTGAATTTAAGAAAAAATTGACTAAAATAAGCACTAACAAAACAATAGGTCAAGAAAATGGTATTTAAAACTGTATAGGTAATAAATTATCAATATGTTTGACTCTTAAAACCCAGTGAAAAACTGAAGATTGAAATACAGAATATTAAAATTAACTTTAAAAGAGAAATGATGCACTTTATTTTGGGGGGGAATAACATTTACAATGTCATGTCAATTAAAAACAAATTACAATAAATTTCCTTTGGAAGTACAAATGATATGAAACCTTAATATTGTTGTTTTACCATGATTAAAATTATTTCCCTTTATATCTTGCTACCAACAGAGTATTAATTAAATAACTGATTCACATATACACCCTAACCCTTCCTCCATTTCTCAGTACAATTATAGCTGAGTTTCAAGAAGACAGAGAACACATATTTTTTACATCAAATGAAAAATTTACATAAGTATTATGTACAGATTACATAAAACGTGATCCATTACTTACTCTCTCAACTGTACATCACTGTTCAGAAATTAAGCAGCTATCGAGCTTTTAATGAACAATAGGTGGAAGTCTAGCCAATTATTTGCCTTGCATTGTCGTTATTTGATTTTAAAAAGCATTTTGTTCTACAGCCTTGTAATTCTTTTTTATGGTAGTAAAAATATAACTACGTATCCTGTGCCAGACATGCCAATTCAGTTGTGATTTCATCATTCAGACATGGTCTGTCTTGTTTCTACTCCAGTCTCAGCAGCTAGAATCATGCCTGATCCATTGGAATATAAAAAAATACTTGAAGAATGAATGAACTAATAAAGAATGAATAAATATACTGGCTATATGTGTATGTATTAATATTTTTCCAGAAATATAGAGGTTAATTATATGTTAACAAAAGGAAGATAATTTTTTTCTGCCAAATTAGGTCATCACTTTTTAAAATTTTCATTCATTTGAAAATAGTTATTGAGTGATTATCATGATCCATCTTTCTGTAAGCAATCCAGTCTGGTTATGAGATAATTCTTAGTGGTGTCAGAGATTGATCCATAAATTCTTTCAGTGACCAAAGGTGGAGATAAAACCTTCAAAACTCTATGTATCTACTACAAAGGGCGTATGTAGATTTTGTTTAATGTTCAAAATATAGTAATAATGGTATGGACAAAGAGGATATTTGTTGAGTGTCTTCCAATTTTAAAAAATACATTGAATCCTTTGTTGAACAGATTAGATTATTTTTCATTAGTTACTAATCATTCATAACCTCATATTTGTTTTGCACTCAAACATTTATTTCTCCTAGAATATATGCAGGTACATTTGGATTGTAATTTTGTGTTTGTATATTTTCTGCAAATAGCCTAAATATAATGAAATGAACATAAAAACATGTCTTCTTAAGCTATTTGAAGTATGGTTCAGTACTTTTTTCCCAAGTATATGCATATGCACATCTACTTTGACACTGACAACTTAAAGTAAAATTAAACATTACTTAATGGAAAATCTCTTTGGTGACCCTAGAGTAAATTTATGTATACCTGCATGCATGTATGTTTGTATATAAATATTAGAGTATAGGCATATGTAGCTACATAGCTTTAAATGGGTTCATATTGAACATACTGCTCTAAGTATTTCCATTTTACGATAGAATAATGTGAGCATATTTCAATATTAATACATATAAATTTATCTCCTTCAAAAGGACACCTCATTTTTCCTGAGTATATCTGTGGGAAAATAATACCAATTGCTGTAACCCCAAATTTTCAGTAGCTCAAGGAACAAAAAAAACACACTCTCCTGCTTCCCGCACCATCACCAAGCTCTTTGTGTTGCAGGCAACAAGATGGAGAGAAGAGCTGTAGCCCTTTGGGGACCTCCGACCTAGGGGCTTCCTGAGCCACGGCTGTAACTCCCTTTTTGGGGCTCTGCAGTTTCTGGCGTCTGCAAGTTTCTGGTCACTACTGCAGTCCCCAAATCTAGATGCTGGCGCCTGCAGCAGAAGCCACTTTTGGTATGTTTGGTCAAGCTGCAGTCTTGCACAGAGCTGGTGAAGCGGTTTCAATGAAAGCCAACATAAGAATAAACATAGATAGATTGAACCAACAGTGGGCTTTTTTGGTTTAAACTTGGGCCTGGGAGCAAATGCAAGTGATAAAGTCATTATGAAAGTGGGTTTAAATGATTACACATTAAAAATTTAATTTTGAAATGTATAAGCTAATAAATTTGGAAATGGACGGCCACTTGAAGATGTATACCCATCATGTATATTTTAGCATGAAGCTAAATTAAGCATGAAGCTCTGGTTCCATGACTTCTGGAAGGCAATGGCCAGTCTCAGACTTAAGGATTAACAGGTATGTGAATTTTAAATATATTAAATCATATATAACTTCTGGAAAATATATGAACAATAGAGACTCAGATGTAGCTACTTAAGAATTTCTAAATATGAGGTTTTATTTGCTCTGTAGAGGAAGAGTTTAAGTAACTGACCATCATTATCACTATTTTTTGTATCACTAGCTAAATGTAGCCATGGTGCCAAATTAAGGGACAGCAAGCACACAAACCTGGAATTAAAATGACACCTTGATGCTTGATGTTAAGTTCCAACATATATTAGAGACCAGATGACATTTTCATAGAAGCTTGCAAATTTTCCAAATTAGTGGTGCCTAAGTATAATGTTGTTCTTGTTTTCACCATTACAAATGAGTCCTTCATGTTAAAGTAACATGCCCAAGATTTTTGCTATTAATTGTTTGTTAGAGATGATGGTTGAGACATGGTACAAAAATTTTCTGCAAAAAGGTTGGTTATTTCTTTAAAAATAAGAAAATTGTATGCACTTTCTAGATGAAATTCACATACAATAAAATGCCCACTTTTTTTGTCAGTGTACTTTTTAATGATTCATTACAAATGTGTGTGTAATGAATTACACAAAAGATGTACAATATTTTCATTGCTTCAGAAAATTTTTTCTGGGCCCTTTGAAGTACTCTGTCTTCCATGTTCCAGGCAACTAAATATTTTGTCATCATAATATTTTTCCCTCTAGAATTCCATATCAATGCTATGGAAGTCCAAATTTGAATTCAGAATTTCAAATTCAATTTCAATTCAAATTCGATTTCAAATTCCAGATATGAAATTTGAAATTAAATGTCCATATCTTTGCAGGTTATTTTTTATATCTGGAATCTTTCAGCATAATTTTTTTAAGATTCATATTGTTGTCATACATAATTTATTTTAATTGATGAATAATATTCCTACCTCATAATTTATGCATTCATCTGCTGATGGAAATTTGAGTTGTTTTCAATTTTTTCTTATTATAAATAAAACTTCTATGAGCAATTGTGTACACATCTTTATGCAGACATATATCTTGAGTACCTCAAAGCAGAATCACTGGGATATAGGGTAAGTGTATGTGAACTTAAAATGATCTTTTAAAGTGTTTTTATTTTCTTTGGGACCAAGTCTTGCTCTGTCACCCAGGCTGGAGTGCAGTGGCACAATCGTGGCTCACTGCAGCTTCAGTTTCCCAGGCTCAAGTGATCCTCCCATTCAGCCCCCAAGTAGTTGGTACCACAGGTGCACATCACCAAGCCCAGCTAATTTTTTCATTCTTTGTAGAGACAGGGCCTCACTATATTGCCCAGGCTGATTTGGAGCCTCTGGGCTCAAGTGATCCTCCTGCCTAGGCTTTGCAAAGTGCTGAGATTATAGGCGTGAGCACTGCACCCCTCCTAATATTATTTTTTCCCCACAAAGAAGCAGCATTTTCCATCTCCACAATCGCATGGTGAGGTATTCATAATTTCTTCCTTATGTTTCTTATCCTAGCCAACACTTGGAATTGTTAAACTTTTAAATTTTAATAATTTATAACTGTGCAATGATATCTTATTTTTGGTTTAATTTGTGCTCCTTAAATAATATAGTGTGTAATCATTTTTCTTGGAGTTTCAAACTGATAGTAAGTGTTTCAGAAAATGAGATCAGCAGGTGCCAGCTCATGGTCCAGAGTAGTGACAATCACACCAACTCCAGTCCCGCTTATACTAAGGAAGTTTATCCAAATGGAGAATAGTGTACATTTTCATGGGAGTTGGAGAGTGGAAAAAATAATAATTAGGACCATTTCTATAATTTCCTTGAATATCTGAGTCACCTAATAAATTGATCTCTTTTTGCATTCAAATATGATCAAAAAGAGTCCATCAAATCTTAGTTCAAAATGTGCCTTACTATGTATGAGGTATGTAAACCCAGAAAAATAAGAATTCTAAAAATCTGAAATGTTAGCATTACATTCCAGAAGGATTGTTTGAGTACTACATGAGTCACATTGCAGGTGTGGGGAAAACATTATATACTTGGAGGGTTATTTGGGAGGAAATAACTGATTAACAGTTTTGATAAACAGTGTCTGTGTTACTTTTAGCAGAATTCTCCTAACAATTCCAGAAGAGGATGCTAAGAAATGCGGATACTGCTAGGCCGGGCGCGGTGGCTCACGCCTGTGATCTCAGCACTTTGGGAAGCCAAAGCGGGTGGATCACAAGGTCAGGGGTTCAAGACCAGCCTGACCAATACGGTGAAACCCCGTCTCTACTAAAATTACAGCTGCGTGCCTCTTGTCACAGGTATTTGGGAGGCTGAGGCAGAAGAATTGCTTGAACCTGGGAGGTGGAGGTTGCAGTGAGCCGAGATCATACCACTGCACTCCTGCCGGGGTGACAGAGTGAGACTCTGTCTCAAAAACAAACCGAAACATGGACACTGCCTGAGCACCCTCATTCTGTGTTTGAAGAAATACAGATACAATGGCAGAAATGCAAGATACATTTTCTTGGAATTACAGTAAAGAATCTGCAAGTGTTGGTGAGCATAACTTTATTATTTGACTACATGAATTATGAAATGCATGTAAATTGATGTTTTAGAGAGACAAAACAATACACAGTACAATTGGGAGTATTTATTACTATATTCCCTCGTCTTTAGTGTCTGATAGTTTCAGATATCCTTCCTCATGAGTTCATGGCATATAGTGTCGCTTCTGTGGATTAGAACCATTTATGACATGCAATTTCTCCATAGTGGCTTCTTACGTGTTGACAAGAAGCTCTTCTGGGACCGTCAGCTTTTCTTCTGTTACTACCTGTTGAGGTGAGAGCGAAAAAGATGGAGACAGCAAAAGAGCCACGAAGTGGTCCATTCTCTTTCCGTCTCTGACCCAAGGGTAAGTACCAACCATAACAGAGCTTATATCTGGCTATATATTTAAGGTTACTTTCCTAAAGACCTGAAGAAAACAAAATAGGATGACGTTAGAACCCAGATACATTTTGAACAAGATAAAGATTTGATCTTGGAGCCCTTGGGGCTCAGCTATAACCTATCTCTTCTGAAGTGATTTAATTATCCTCACTCCAGGTGCAGGCAGCTTCACCACCATTCCTCTCAGATATATGTGCATTTTGGGAAGACTCTTCTTCCATGACAAAGCACAGGGTGGAGTAGAATCCTGGCTTATCCACTCTAATGGTGATGTTCCCCAGAGTCCTCTTTTCTGTTCTACCTCTTACACACTCTGACAATGGCAGCTTGTCAGCCCATCCCATAACACTGTAAACTATTATTGGTACATTTTCCAAAGTTTAAGTTTACTTAGAATATATATGATTTTTCTAACCTGGTTTCATTCCTTTTCATTAATCTGTATTCATTATTACCTCAAGATGAATACATATTCTTCCTTTAGTTTTCCAGTTCTTGGTTTCTGAACTTGGGAGCAACTCTTTAAAAATTAATAGTGACAGTGATAATCCGTCCTAATGCGATATTCAAAAGCAAATTGTGCATTTTCAAAATGACAGATTTTGTAGCCTTTACCACAGTTGTAATGTTTTAACAATTTAAACCTAATTTCAATTAGTACCCTGATACCTCCAAATATTTAGCAAGGAGAGTTTTTCTAAGAAAGAGTCTAGGCCATGGAAAATTAACTTTCCTATTTCCCATCTCACACTTGCGAGAAAAGTGAGGCTCAGAAAGTCTGAATTTTATTTGCCAAAGGTCACAAGAGTGGTAGAGCTGGGATTCAAAACTAGGTCATTCTCACTCTAGAACCATATTGCCTTCTAAAATGTGTCACTGAATGAAACTTCCCTTAGCATGTAAAACTGTGTGCAGCAAAAATTCTGCAAGCTCCAGGGTCAAGTGGAATGATAGATTTTCTTTGTCTCCAGATAAGTTGGCTCCACCCAATCATGTTTAATTCAATTTTTATTTATTGATCTATCGATTTCAGGTATTAAGTGCTAGACATAAAAGTGACCAGAGGAAAAAAGAATTTTGGAATGAGAGCAGAATGGATTATTTTCTTCTTTCTTTCCTCTGGTTCAAATAGCATATCTCCTGCACATGACAGATTTCCTGTAACCTGTGTAGTACTTTGAACATGTAGTAAAGCAGAAGTGACATTGCAGTAACTCATGAACTCCACTGAGATTGCTATGGTGTGACAAACCTGTCTTGGCTGTCTCTATGTAAATTAGAAATTCCTAAAGCTTTCAATAGGAAAGTTACTGTGAACTGCTTCATTTCAAACTGAAAGCATTGAAATGCTAATTAGGAAGCATTATTTTTTTCCTTTAAAGTAACTTTAAATGACTTGCCTGGAAAGTAAACACATTTACTCTACTTTTATGGCACAGATTTCTCCATATGAGAGGAGAATGGCCATTTTTGTGAACTACTGTTGGATATGACATACATATTTTGGAAGTCTCATTCGATGTTTGGATTTGACAGATAAAATGCTTTTATCGATTGTATTGTATTGAAAGCTGTTTTATGCAAATTAATTTAACACAGAATTTAATGATTTTGGATGTTAGGAGTGAGGGGAAAGGAACAACCTTTAAAGTTAACACTGTAATTATCATCTTACTTCTGATTATCTCAGCTTCCACCAGAATAGAAAATGCTTATTCTCTTGGAGAGAGAAATAAACTTAATCTTTACATGGGCACACTCAAAATTGTTACTAAGCTTTTACATATTTTTTATTGTTGTTGTATTTTTTCACAATGTCCTATACATTTTCTTTTTATTTTGTGAAGTGAGGTGTGAGTGTGTGTGTGCCTGTGTGTGTGTACACACATCCATGGGGGGAGCAAATTCTAAATAAGCTCAAGTAGAATTTATTTTTTCTAATTACAGAGTACTCACAGAGCACCAAGGAATTGCACAATTTTGCATGTAGCAGAAGCACAGCTGCCTTTTCTCTAACCTACATCTCCTCCTCTATTCCTGACCTTGTAAATGGCATGGATAATTAATCAATGGCATACACTGATGACATAGGTGTCATTCTAAACTCTGTTTTCTATTATACCTCCTCCATTTCCTTCTGTGTGGTTGATCAACTAAAGACTCATCTATTCTTTTTAATAATAATGTCTTCATGTTATCAAATATTCTAATTTCCATTGATACTCTGTGATATAAAATCACATCATTTTTTCAAATTTGTCATAATTCTGTCATATTGCATATTTTATATGTCATTATAAAGGATTTCCTTTTTGGTATCTGAATATCTTTATGTTTATGGAAAGGAAATAAAAATATATGATGCATAATAAATATTTTATAATTTAATGCATTTCAATTCTAAACATATCTACAAATGCATCAAGGTAATACCGTTTTTTTTTATATACACATGACTAAACATAGACACTATCATATGTTAAGCCCTAGAAAATAGTGATAAGGATTGTTTCTGGGTGACATGGACAGAGGAATTGTGAGAAAATAGTGTTAAGGAAAAATCAGTTAAATGTAAATACATATGTATGTATGTATGTGTGTGTGTATGTATGTATCCTAGAGATAATTATTATATTGCTACTATATTGCTAAATATAGGAATCAAATGCACTATTTTCTTTAAACTGAATATGTAATACAAAAAGTAATCTAATCATAATAGGGAAAGAAAAGACATATTTCAGCGTAAGTTTAAGAAGTTTTCATTTAGACTTGCATTTATAAAACTACACCACTCTTTGAGATGAGATGGAGCCTCTTTATACAGAGATTAAATCATCTGATCAACTCCAGGTTTATGTGATTTATTTTGCTTACTTGCTTGGCCTTGCTGCTTTCTTTATTTATTTTGTTTTAACCTTACATCTGGATAAAAATTTGGAACCTGAAATTTACAACAATATGCTTCTGCTTCCACTGATTTGAGATAGAGAAGATTCAAAAAAAGACAAAGTCTGTAAAGAACTTCCAATTTAATTACTCTGATTTATTTTCACTTCATTCCTACATAAATGAAGTGTAAAGTAATTACGATGGCGTTTTGTGAAGAAAAAAATCAATTTATATATGATTACATCTAGTAACTATTACTTAGTACTAAATTTTTTGTCATTATAAAACATCTTTTGAATCAGATATTATTATATTTTCACTCCAGCAGTATGTATGATCCAGGAAAGAATTTCTTTTTCCTCATGATGGCTAACATTTATTTAGCACATTTAGGATGCACTCTGTGCAAAATACTTTACATATTGGAATTAATCTCCACAATAATGCTATGAGGTGGGGACTAGTTTTGTTTTTTTTAACGCTTTTTCTTCAACTTTTGTTTTAAACTCCAGGGTACATGTGCAGGAAGTGCAGACTTATTACATAGGTAAACATGTGCCATGGTGGTTCACTGCACAGATCATCACTTAGATATTAATCCCAGCATCCATTATCTATTCTTCCTTATGCTGTCCTTTCTCCCAACCCCCTCCCCAACATGCCCCAGTGTGTGGTGTTTCCTACCATGTGTCCATGTGTTCTCATTGTTCAGCTCCCACTTACAAGTGAAAACATGTGGTGTTTGGTTTCTGCATTGGTTTGCTGGGATGATGACTTCCAGTTCCATCTATGTCCCTGCAAAGGACATGATCTCATTCCTTTTTATGGATGAATAGTATTTCTTGGTATATATGTACCACATTTTTTTTTATATGGTTCATCATTGATGAGCATTTGGGTTGAGTCCATGTCTCTGCTATTGTGAATACTGCTACAATGAACATATGCGTGCATGTATCTTTATAATAGAATGATTTCTATTCCTTTGGGTATATACCCATTACAGGATTGCTGGATCAAATGGTATTTCTGCCTTTAGGCCTCTGTGGAATTGCTCTTCACATAAACTTTCACAGAGCAAAATAATTTAGTTTTGATGAAATACAATTTATCCACTTTCCATTTTATGCATCTTGCTTTTGGTGTCAAGTCTAAGAACTCTTTGCCTAGCCCTAATTCCCAAAATGCTTTACTTTTTTCAAAATATTTAGAATTTGTGGTTTTACTTTTAAGTCAGTGTTGTCTTTTGAGTTAATTTCTAAGTGAAGTATGAAATTTAATTTGAGGTCAAAATGCCTTTAGTTGTTACTCATGTTTATAATAAAAATTTTACTTAGTATATAACTGACTTACATGCATTTTCCATCAACATTTAATGATGCTTTTTCATCATTTTCTTGAATCTGTTCTTTTGTTCATAAATACTCTTAGAATTATCTCTTTATTCTTAATGCCTTGAGATATAATTACAGTGTATTTAGGTACATAGATTTAAAAAACTTGGTAAGTACTAGGTAGATAATGAATGTTAGGGTTTATGATTTTTTATTTTAGTTTTCTTATTTTTCCTCACAACTTGTATAATATGTATTACCTAATATAAATCTGTTTACATTTTAGGGGTCTAACCTCCAAATTTTACAGTTTCATTTTTGCTATTTATACTTATATTCCCTTGTTTTGTGTGCAGTGTGAGTTCTCCACTCAGCCTTTCTAATGCTAACTTATTTTTCATTTTGTCCACTTGGCATATTGTGTCCACATGTACTGAGTTGAATGTCAAAGTTTAATTTGCATAAAATCTTGGTAACTCTTTTTCATTGATCTAATACTTATTCCAAAGTCCTACCCTGTTTGCTCTATTGTTTCCCAGGATGTAGTGCTTTCTACCTGTTTACTGAATTGTCTTTTAAGGCATAGCATCTTAACAGTGTTTGGTAATTCCTGATTATGGGGTAATTCTTCCTAGAAAGTAATTTATTTTGTTATTTCTGATGCTTATATTTTATTTTGTTGTTAGTGAGAATGAGAATATATCCAAAAGCATTCACTTTAACAGCTTGATGGGTA